CAACCAACTATCCCAAAAGACCGATCTGATAGGAAGAGGAAATATAATATGCTCCCTCTGTCCCATAGTATAAGATCTTATTACATCCAATCTGCTCATAAATTGGATGTAAGATCTTATATTATGCGACGGAGGGAGTACTTAACAAAAATCACCAGCGTTTACAATTTGCAACTAAATAGTCGAGGAGGGGTGAGGGTGTGGGACGACATCGGCACTCGCCTGTAAGATATTAGGACATCAAAAAGGGGGGAATAGGCAACTTAAAGTAGTAGAGAAGAAAAAACAAGGAAAATGGGAGGAAGGTAAGAAAGTTTAGAGTGACCCATGTACTAGGGAGGTATGACAGGTAGGTTTGGCTCTTTACATGTGATTCTTTGTTGGTCGATGCCTTGATGGAACAGAATATGCTTAGGACTTGTTACTGTACAATTTGTACTACAGATATATTTTGTATCGCCTAATTGTCACCTTGTCATGTGCCTTGGCGGCTGTGCACCCAGGCGGTCCTAAGACTAGAAAATTAATTTAATTGTTCAAAACCAAGTAACCAACTAAGCATTCTGGTGTGAAACCTAAAAAGCTAATAACGCAAGATATCTTCTGTGGTGGTAGCATGATCATATCTGATCAAACTTGTGCTCTTTTTCACCGAATTACATACTTTTAAGTCAGTGACAATTTGTTGAGAGATATTACTAATCAGGTGTTTTCAGGCTCTGGACGCATTGCTTGATATCTCTGGTATGGGATGGTGCATTCCTAATGAAGAAACAAATAGCTCATCCTCTCCAAATATCTTCCCAGGAAATGGATTGTTTGAAGAAGAATGTACTGCAAGTATTCAACAGAGTCCACACCAGGTGTTAACTTTGCACAGTCACTACAATTTATGCTCCTATTTTTCAGTGCAAATCACCTGTATTGATATTCTTGCAGAAATTTCAGTTAATCTTAGATACATTAAAGCTACTAAGTTCAGTACTAACTACTAAATATTTTGTTCTACAAATAGCCTGGGATCATAGAAATTTCAGTTAATCTTAGTTGACTCCTGCATACATTGAAGCTACTAAGTTCAGTAATAAATATTTTGTTCTACGAATAGCCTGGGATCATAGATTCTTTATTATTTATATTTAGTGCAGTTAGTATAACCCCTTCTTACTGGCCAACATGTTATATCCGTACTACAGCGGATAGTTTAGATTGTATCTTTCAAAGCACCAACTATTGCCAGTTTACCATTGCTGTGTTTTACAACTCAACCTGTTTATAGTCGCAGAAGTTGCCAAAAAAGTCTTAACAGGAAGTAAAATAGAACTTGTAGCTTTGTTGTTCATTTTGACGTCCTAGTGCAACGTAAGACAGCAAACAATGTTGAATGTCATTGCTATTTACTTCTGGTTGGCATGTCTGTGCTAGTCCACTAAACACGTCTCCAGTTTCCTATTATTTCTTTGGCACAATAGAATGCATGTGGCACTTTGTAAGCGCTCCCTTGTGAAATTATCATATTCTAACATTTTGTTCTACTCAGTTCCCAGAAGAAATACCTGGTATGTCATACAATCACTCTGAAAGGCAACATGAATTCTTCTGGGGGGAACAACAGAGCAGGTGAATCTTATCTGAGCACATATGCTTTCCTTAGATTCTTAGTAACATTATATAGCAGCTGTCTAATGTGTTGCTTGGTGAACTTGATACTTCATGTTTATGTGTTTGGCATGCACATACTTGATCCACAAAGTTGCCATGTATGCATGTCATATTTTTGTTTGTAGCTGAGTATGGACAAACATAGTGGGTAATTGTTCAATGGAGAGTATTCAGTGCTTTCTTGTGCCCCTTTTGCACATTTGGCAGCTCAGAAGTTGCATAGCACATGAGATTAGATATGTACTACCTCTGTACACTAATATAAGACGTTTTTGCAGTTCAATTTGAACTGCAAAAATGTCTTACATTAGTGTGCAGAGGGAGTACATGTTAACGATTTCATATCCTTGACTGCCTTGACAAATAAAGCATCCTTGATTGCCTAGACAAACACAGTTTAATAAAAGCTTACTATATGCACACATAGCGTGTGTCACATGCTAGTAATGTATTCCTCTAAGATAGCTTATACTAGTATTTTTCTTAGCTAACGTAAGTGAGTTTTGGGTAAAATGAGTGGCTCAGTTTAAATGCCTTGGTCATCTGTCGACTTCAGTAGTACTGGCTGTACAGGTTGTTATCTCCTAGGCATAATGGTATCAGTAGTGAAGCAGACCTTGACAATACTGGCTGTACAGCTATACCAATAATCACATAGACGTTGACAGTATGTGGCTGTGCAGCTAGTTATCTCCTAGGCATCAATGGTTTTAGTATTTGCATAGACTTTGGCAGTGCTGGCTGTACAGCTAGTTATCTCCTAGGCATCATTGATATCAGTTATCTCGCCATGTGCTTGCACTTTCACGCTGGTGGTTGTTGGTTTATGATATTCCTGGTCTTTTGGTTCAGTAGCTACATGAAGGCTGTTTGCGAGGTGCAGCACCCGGCAACACCGTCTCCAAGATCAGCGGTGGTGGATTCCAAGATGCCACAACAAGTCTTGGAGTCGCTGTTCAAAATACCTGAACGTCGCACATACGAGCCAAGTAAAATGGACTGGAAGAAGGTAGTGAAGAAGCTGCAGTCATACAATCATCCCATCACAGCAAGCAATCAAGAAAGACCAAAAAATGGTATATCCTGTTTTTGACCACTCTGCTTGTTAACATGCTCGTTGTGCTCAAAGAATTCACTTCTTTTCCGTCATGGCAATTTACATACTTTCTGTTTCCTAACTCTATAGGTTTCTATTGTTAGTGTATTTCTCACCATGAGGTCGATAGTTCCCTCGTCTAAGCAATATAGATTTATCCCATAAGTAAAACTGCTACTTCTCATTTCTTGATTTAATTAGTCTTCATTTGACACGTAGACATTCACATTAGATATGTTCTTACAATGGAACTTCTTTTGATGGATTTGCTTACACTTACACATATAACTGTCTTTGTTTCACTTATTGTTGTATTTGGCACTGCTGTAAATGACAACTGTAATTTCTCAATGTTAAGGGGATGGGTATCGAGAGTTCCGTGGTGTTTCTGCTAGGCATTATGATACGATGAAAGGGTATTATCAGAAAGTAAGACACTATTTTTGTCGCAGTTTTTCTTGAGCCAGTTCTTCTTTTGTATTTCATATATTGATCTCTATTTATTCCATACAGGCTGCTGTGGCATATTCCAAAGGAGATAAATCTTATGCCTCTTACCTTGCAGAGGAGGTCAGACTTTCAATTTTAAGATGTTAAGGCTGACAAAAAAAAGAGAGCAGGATCTCTTTATCTTTCACCTTTAATGGTTGAATGATGGAGAGCTCCAAGTGATGTGCTGATGTTGTTTCTTAGTATCTTACAGTACATAAAATTAGTAAATTATATTAGCCCTGTTATAAGATGCTAAGATGTATTCGTTTTTCAGAATATTTTCTGGAATGCTTATAGCTACTTTGTGTTGCCTTAGTATCTCAAATAGCCAAATATGTATTTGCTTTAGGGAAAACATTATCGGGAATTGGGTCGCAAGGAAGATGAGAAGGCCAGCAGGGAGATATTTGAAGCCAGGTAAACCGCCGTATAACTTCTGATAGTCAGGGAGATATTTTTTGATCTCAGACTCTGGTATCCTTGGTTGGCAGAAACAAGCATATAACAAACACGGTGACTATTGACTTGCATGGTCAACATGTCAAGCAAGCTATGAAGCTCCTCAAAGTTCACATGCTGGTTTGTGTATGCATGCCATGTGAGTATTAACATACAGTTTGATGCTGTAATTATTTAGCTCCATTTGTCTTGACTAATGCTTGTCATGTCTTCCTTTCTCTTCCTTAAACAGCTACCCTTCTTAGAGTAATTACTGGTTGTGGTGTTGAAGGTACAGGGAAAGGGAAGATAAAACGATCGGTAAGAATGTTCTTGTTTGATTAGTCATTCTTGTCACTTCTATATGCTGCTTATAAGTATAGTGACTGTAGTAGTTTTAAAGCATCGTCTTCATACTCTAAATGAACTCTCCTCAATTGCATTTGGTTGGGTGTTCCATCCTTTCATACTCTATCCACATTTAGTCTTGTGGCCATATGATCGATTATAGTAGAATATTGTGCAGCTCTGGGTGGGGTTTGTAATGCTCATATTTTATTTCCCTAAAAAATGCCTTAACCCTTTATCCAGTTAATCGTAATATGTTAATCCCTTGATTTCACATGCCATGCTTTTGAATGCAATTATATATAAATACATGCCTGTAATAGGTTATCAAGCTTGTGGAGAAGGAAGGCATCGAGTGGTACGAAGGGAACTCCGGAACCATAGTTATTCGACTAGGCGGGCCAAGAGAATACCGCTTCCTGGAGCATGACAGCGATTCTGACTAAGTTGAAGCCTCGCCTCGTCTGTTTTTGGTGGAGCCTGACATAGATTTAACAGCCGTTCTAATCTATGTATCTCTCCTGTATCTATCTGTACTTACATGTCCTGTATGTAATTATGGATAGGTGACCTAGGTTCCTGTGTAGTACGAGGTAGTTTCTGACACAGTTTGGGAATAGCAAAGAGAAGATAGGTGCCGTCTGATGTCATCATCATTCTAGGCTGCTAACATTGTATCGTACTCTTGAAGCTATGTGCCTGTCTAATTGTTTTATGTTAGGGTGGAAGGAACAGCAGACAGTGTAACTTTACCCCCATGTATCTAGTTTATGCAGTGTAAAATTATCTTCAGTACCCAGATTCTTTTTGGCATGATACTCCTGGGGCTGGCTACCTGTTGGTTGTTATAGTTGATTGAAATGATCTGTAGCCATGTGATTCAGGATTAAAACCATTCAGGTGTGCATCAAGGCCGCCTTCTCGCGCTGTCCACGTCGGCAGGATGTGTACTGTTTGTCTTGGCCAATGGGAGCGCCAATTCATGTCCAACTCAGCGCTCGTCTACTGCCTCCTGCGTAATGTCAGGTGTGGGCTGGCCGTCCCGTCCCTCCGTCACACGCTAACTCTTCTGTCGCCGCCTCATCCCCGTCCCTGTACTTCGGCGACCCGGCCTCCCTCGTCGACCTCCGCGGCCTCACCGATGCCGGCGCCGCCACCCGCCTGATCCACGAGTGCGTCGCCTACCAGCGCGCCCTCGACGCCCGCCGCTCCGACCTCGACCTCGTCGAGGCGCTCTCCTCCCGCGTTCGCCACCTCGACGCGGTGCACTCGCGCGCCGAGTCCGCCTTGGACGCCGACGACCTCGCGGTCGCCGCCACCGCTGCGCGCGAGTTCCTGTTGGATCAGGTCGCCGCTTCCTTGTCCGTCTCTGACGCCTATTCCTTCTCCTTTCCTCTCCCAAAAGATTCACAACGAGGCAACCTCTCCTTTCTCTTCTTTCCATGATCTGGTCTTGATAACAAGATCTGAGGTGAACACCCTCTCGTGCGCCGGCGTCGGAGAGGGCCGGGAGAACCACCAAGCCATTGGGCAGTCCGCCTCTGGCTTCTCTGATCAGTAAGATCTTCCTCCTCTTCCTTCCCATCTCCTTCTCCCTCTTCCTGGCAAGACGGTTAACCTTGATTTGGGTGGTGTGATGGCCAGATAACCATAGACTGGTAGTTATTTCTTGTGAAATTCCTTCATCTATATACGTTTGGCAGAGTTTGGTTAATTGCTCTTGTTTGTAGTAGTAAAATTGCATCAGAACAACCTAAAAAAATAGTACATTTTGATGTGTTTGAGATAGTTCCTCCCCTGAAATCACCTTTATTAATATTTTGTTTGTTTTAAGTGAAGCAAGTCTTTTATCCAATTTTTGCATGTGTGTTTCCTCTGTTCGCAGGTGGTTGTCGGGTGAGCACCGGTTTTATGGCCTTTCATTGATCGATCGTGTTGTTCATCTTCCTGTGGTGGGCCTTCTGCTTCATTTGTGGTCAAGATGAGTTTTTGCTATATTTGTCCGTGTGATTTAGTGTTTTCGGTGTCCTTGGATTTATATGTATGTTGGTCGATTCATGCTCATTAGGAGTTTGATGCTATGCCATCCATATGGTGGCCTGAGATTTTTGTTTCTTTTGTCAGAAATCGCATAAGTGAGCTCATTCTCGACTTCGATTCGGCGTTCGGTGTGATGAGTGGATCGTCTCTCTGCAGTTCAGGTACTGTTTGGGATCTCTTTGAGCTAGGGTTCAGTTTACTTCTGATTGGTCTCGATTTGTTATTCTCGCTATTATTTTGGTTGCACTCTCTTGTGATGCGGTTGTATATCGCTGAGTCTTTCTCCATCAACACATCGGCTATCTCGGCGTGTTCTTACATTTCTATCCTTTACAAAATAGTCCACATTTCATACTCCGATTCCACTTTTCCACATGTACCCTCGATGCACTACTTTACTTTTAGAAGAGCGTATGGTAGCGGCGACTGTGACATTTTTTTTAGAAAATTTTAGAATCTTTGAATTCTGCAGTCACCCCGCTTAATTTCTGCACCATAGGATAGAGTACAACGAGTCCTCTCAGATTCAATTTTCTGTTCACTAACAAAGACAAAGAGATTAAGCTAAGTTATTCAAACACCTAGATGATCTAAGTTGCCTACTTTCTCTTACCACGGGATTGCATTTCTTCAAACTATGTTGCTTTTTAATCATCAGGGTTTTTATATTTTTCAGTTCTTCCAGCAGAAAGTAATCTGATTTGTCAACTAATTATAAACAACATCATGTTAACGTGAATTTTGGTTCACCTTCACTCATTCTGACATTTATCACCATAAAATATTTTACAGCAAATTGTCTTTGTCCTTAGTCATGGACGGGTTTGGTTGAGGTGCACTTGTGTACAACCCTTTAAGTCATCAAGTACTTTGGTGTCCTATTTTTTGCAATATAGAATGTCTCATGGTGCATTTTCTTCTGTAATCTTATTTAGATGAGCACCAGCATCTCTGTAACTTCTTCAAAATACAGTAACGAAGCTGCATTTGTTTTCATGGTTGGCTCTTCTCTCATCAGGCGGCACCAAATTGGTAGGGCTTCACCTCATACTTTCAATGCTTCTCATTCAGTGCATCGTTGTTTTGTGCTTGAATACTCTTCTTTTACTTGCATCTTCTTTTCCTTTTAATTTGACTGAGCATTTTAGTCTGGCAATGTGCCCGTGTCAATTCTACATATGGTTATCGCATCAGCATGATACAAAATGAGAGCATTTCATTGGCGGCTAGATTGTTTCATGGTTATGTTCTTCTGTAATTATCTTTTTGGGTCAATTTACACATGATATAGCTAATATGTTGTATGGCGAATTAATTTAGGTCTGTTTCGGTGGCCAGCTACTGATATGTCATTAGTGGCTAGAACAAGGCACATACTATTTTTTCCTTTCGATTGGGTGATATACCCCACGGCTGTAAAGAAATGAAGTTGCAGTGTCGTACGGCGAATTAATTTAGCTTTGTTTCGGTGGCCAACTGCTGACATATTATTAGTGGCTAGAACAAGGCACGTACTTTTTTTTTTCCTTTCGATTGGGTGATATACCCCACAGCTGTAAAGAAATGAAGTTGCAGTGTCGTACGGCAAATTAATTTAGCTCTATTTCGGTGGCCAACTGCTGACATCTTATTAGTGGCTACAAAAAGGCACATACTGTTTTTTTTCTTTCTATTGGGTGATATACCCCATAGCTGTAAATAATGAAGTTGCAGTGTAATGATATAGCATCTTATTTCTGCATCTTTTGCCTTGCGGTCTTCAGTACTTGTGGTTAGTACTTGTGGTTAGCTGATGTTTATTTTCTGATTCTATTGATTCTTGTTAGCAGGGTTGTCTGACATGGTCTGCAATGTTAGTGCTGGTCTGAAGCTTTTCTAGAAGCATTTGTGTGTTCTCAAGCTCAGGAGTTACAAGGAGCAATGGTGCTATGGTCTTGAACTTCCACTGATCTTGTACTGAAGAATGATCCTTAGCTTAGTTACTTAGCTTGATGTCTTTTTTTGAGGATAGGTTTGGAGTTGCATCCACTTTTGTCTAGGTTGGTACGTCCACCAGAATTCGCATGACATTATATGCCAAGATGAGTTGTTGTACTTCCTCTAAATGCATGGCTCAATGCAAACGACTGATTTATTTTTCTTATAATATGTAAACCATGTACTGCATCAACACTCATTGTAGATCATGCTTTCAATTGCCTGAACTTTCTTTTTGTGGTATGCAGATGACAAAATGTAGGGATTCATATTTTTCTTATGTCCCTGCATGGGATTTTATGATTGCACAAATCATAAGAGAAATCAGTGATAGGCCTAAAATTATTGTGGTTGCAGATGATGTGGGAAAGGATGTCCCGGCTCACGCCCTGGAGTGCAATGAGGAAGTGGTGTAGGCCATCGATGTGGACATGTTCTTCTCCGGTGCTC